TTCAGCGACCAACACAGATATACTCTTCCCTCACACTACACATCCAATCAAGTCGGCCGAATTCCGCCTGCGTGACAAAACACACTTACATCGCCGCAGTGAGCATGACAATTTGTGCGCCTGTTTGAGGGAACAATATAATCCCCCTACCACCCATCCACTCTTCCCATAGCTATGCTTTTGGCAAATGATTCGTTCCAGCTACGATTGGCATAAACCTGCAAAGCCACTTCGCCTCACATAAGAATGCCACCAAAGTGCGTGACAGGCACATTTACTAACATAATAAGGAAGAATTTCTACTGATATTAAAGTTCCACCCGTCTCTTCACTTGCAATGATAGAAGTGACACACTGCCGTGTGTGACGGTCAGACCAAATAAATAGAGCACCGTGTTCAAGCAGACACTGTCACCCACGGTCACGTCCAAATGTAAGGTCAGGCAACTCAACTTGCGACATCCACGCCACGAGTCGCTGCACACAGTGCCAAGGCATCAGGGATGAGGCAGATGACAGGCTCAATAAGGGCCATGTCTTCCAACACTTCTCACATGGTTTACAAAGTGATACGAATCAAATCACAATTGACAACTGACGTAAGATAGTGTGTGCTCTTCAACTTCCACTGTGAAAGGCAAAAAGGAGAGTCTCAATAATAAATGTCTTCGACAGACCAAGATTGCTTATGACACCGTTTAAGTGATGGCGTCTCCACCCAAAATAGGCACTGCAATGGCCCAAGTCTTCCCACCACTCCCATATCCAAATCAGCAGCGAAGCACATACTACTCACTGGGGTGTAAAAGAGTAAGGGCAGAAGGGTGAGGGAATGCGAGGAAACAGATTCATCAGCATCACTTGAAGCTCACAATCAGTGACATAGAACAGAGGTAGGCACAGCCTGAGCTGACCCAAACACCCACGCAGTTCAACACTAACTCCAACCAATAACCACCAAATTGACACCACACGTGGAATATCTAGACACCACGACCTCTAGATGCAGCCATCCTCTTACCGATTACTTCATCAACAACACTGCCTTCCTCCCATTCGAAATGGATAACCTCTCCCAAATCACTGCAAGTAAGGTAGCTGCTAGACAGAATGACTTGCCACTACAACAATGACGACTGCCTTACTCGGAGGTGGAGGACTCACAAGCTCCCTCCGCCCTGACAGTGGAGCGCACTGCATTAAAGCACTCCATCATTCATTCCACTGTGGAGGAAAGGGAGGCAATAAAAATGTCATCCAACCATCCTACTTGCATCTATGCGTGCGGCAAGCCAGAACCAAACGCCACACATGTGGTGGGGTGAAGAAGAAAGTTAGTGCATTTGTGGGGAAGGGGAAAACTGCAGAGAGCTTCTTGCAATGCCATAAGCGTGAGGACACGCGCCTCCGCCACCACCACCAGATGTGGTGGGCACCTCTGATCCAAGTGAACACACACTAGCCGTCAAATCTACCTCCTTGCCTGTTGTCAACCTCGTCGTCATCGGTGTTATCGATGTTGTTGGCTTTTATTACACCTCTCTTCTCCAACTGTCTACGCACCACGAGGATGTTCATTGGCCGTGTCGGACGTTGAGAAGCGGTGCAAATCAAAATGTGATGATGTCGGAAGTGGCACAACTCCTCCACATCCTCTCACTTTCGCTGTGGTGTGACACCCTGCTTCCACTTACTTAAAACGAATACACTGACCGGTTCTCCAGAACACATTCACATTTCCACATATTTCAGTAGCATCGCATCAAGTGCATCGTCCCTCGTCTCTGTACTACTTGTCCTCCCATCCTGTAGTACTTTCTTCCTTCAGATACTCCCTTCACCCTTCTCCTCCTCTCCTCCAGATAAGAGCTTGCCAAGCACGCTCCTGTAGATATCTTTGCATTTTATTACAAATAACGGTCATGCAATTGTTCTTCAATCCTCACTCTCTACTTCACACGACACTGTCTATTCTGTCTGTCTAGCTCAAAGGGAAGTGATAGTCACTGGAGGTGAGGGTTAATTAGAGCTTTGTGATGGATGCGGTGATGCATAATACTGTGCACCAGAATACTGCAGGTTTGGACTCGAGTCTGTTTGCTGTCCTATGAAGTGTGAGGAAGTGAGTTGGGATGTCATATAAAACGAAGCGAATGACTTTCTCTCGAGGTGTTCGATCATGCCGGCTGTCGTGGACATTGATGAGCTACAAGTGGAGGAAGAGGAAGAAGGTGAGAAGAAAGTGGCCAAGGAAGGAGATATAGAAAATAAGAACGTGGTTGTCGTAAGCTTTTGAGTCGTATCGGCGCCGAGACTGCAATGGTTGCTTGGCAGCTGACAGATGATTGGTTTGTAATGGCGACTTGAACCTGCTATTCTACAACAGCTCCCTCTCGTCAAGTGGTAAAGAGGTGCGTGGGTAGGTAAACGAGGAAGTGAGGAAGTGATACACAAATTGATGTCTCATAGAGCTGATCTCCATTTGATATTAAT